TATATAAATTGTAATTCTGTTGTTTATTTAACAATTTTAACAACTGTTGTTATATTCAAAGTTTGACTGTTTTAATATTTTTGAGAGCAATAAATATCCATAAAGGAGTGCAAGTCAGAGTCAATTAGTGGTGTAATGAAATACCTGGACATTCATCCACATTGCAAGCTTCCGATTCTTCAGGTTTCTGATCTGTGCACAATTCCTCATCATTTTGAACCTCGCCTATATTTGGCGATTGCACTCTTTGGCATTCTACAGTCCTTGTACGAACACCACCACCACAAGGCAAGGAGCACTGTAATAGAAAATACTGATTTTAGACTTAAAACTTAATTGAAGAATTCCAATTCTGAGATGAGCGTTTGGCTAATTGGTATAGTTCCTGTCTCTTGTACGACAGGGCCCGGGTTCAATATCCGGCTCAGTATCGAGTATTGAATTCAGGTCTCTTATAATAACAAAAAACGCTCAGCTCCTCGGATAACCCTCTCAATAGAGTGAAGGACCATTTTTGTATCAGTCTGTATCCGTTTGGTGTTTATTCAAGGGGGAGGCTAATTATTAGCCACTGGTCAAAGACTATGTGGCTATCTTGCCTCCCCAGGTTGTGTACCAAACTTTCGTAAAACATACAAAAAAAAAGAATAGTTATTATATAAATACACTTACGTTATAACTAGCTAAAATGCCAAGGAGCATTTGAGTCCAAAAGCAGTTTTCTCTGTAGGGTGGTCATTTAAAGAATAAATGGCAGTTTTTTCCTTGTAAGTATTCAAAAAATAGACTAATACCTTTTTCACACTGTCACTATTTTGCAAATAGTAACAACTAGTAACAAGTTGTAACCAGGTTTGTTTAGTATGAAAACAAATTCATGTAAAATTTATGTTGTGCGCACTATGCCTACCCTAGAAATCTAGGTCTACTACTATTCTTCTAAGATTTCAAACGGATCAGACTATTTTGTGTGAAATGAATAAAATATCAAAGTTATTACTAATGGTTAACTGTTCCTCAATAGTTACATTTATTGTAAATCTTGGCATTTGTATTCAAAAATATGAAATTTTCACTTCATTCCTGATGATACAATTAAAATCAAAATATCTTGTTTATCCTTTTTTGGGGTATGTTTTACTTAGTTATTTCTTTGTTTTTTTAAAATACATAAAATTGAGGAAACAATACATCCAAAACATAAAACAAATCAATACAGGTGCTGATCAAGAAACAAAAAAATCTCTGAAACAGTCTACAGCAGAATAACCAAAACAAAACAACAGTGGTAAATGGGTACATACAGATGCTCTATCACATTGATGTCCAGTTTAACATGAATAAATTCCATACTTGTTAATGGTGTAATGCATGCTCCAGGTATCGGGGTGCGCGCTGTCGTGTCGGGATTCAGTGCTTCGGCAGTGGCTGCGTCATCATCAGGCATTGTGTCGGGCATCAGTGTTACAGCATTGATTGTGTTATCATCGGGAATGGTCAATTCCTGATGGTGACATAGCTGGTGTTGGGATGTTGGGTCCTGGCGCGGAGGCGTGTGTTTTGGTGTTTGGAGTATGTATTATACTTTCTTATCTGAGTTTAATCAGTGGACCTTTCGGTCTTAGGACTAGGAATTTTTAAACTTTTTATATTTATATATTTTTACATTTTTATATATTTATTTTCTTACTTTTTAGTTTTTTTGGTGTCTTTTTTACTTTATTTTGTTAGGACTTTTTTTATTTTCTCCATTTTATCTGTGTGTATACTGGGCACTCTGGGAGAAGTCTTTTTGAATGAAGAGTGTACCCAGTATAAAGAACAAATAAGTAAATAAATAAGATAACAACTTACCTCACCGAATTCTCCAGCAACAAAGCCATACTCTGGACAATCACTCTGTGAGATGATTAATTGTACACCTTCACTAGTGACATTGTTATTCGTTCTGAATATTATGTGGGCTTCACTTGATCTTGTTTGGATCGCAGTTCCTATAGGAACCGAGCCACATAGTTTCCAATCAGTTCCCTCACTTAAAATCTGTAATTCAATACATCAACGTTAAAATACCATAATAATGTTTAACTGTATATTTGTGAGCCAGATAAAATAAAAGCATCTTGAAACCAACTGATTCAGAGTCAATGAACATGCTGTACTGTCACACTTTGTAAAGTTGTCAGGCTTTGTAATAACATGTCCCACTTTGTAATGATGGAGCTGTTGCACACCAGCATTTTAGGGAGCTTTTGATTGCACAACAACGGTAGGATGTAGAACGTAATGACGTCACCAAAAGTAATCTGCGCATGCGAAAACGATAAGGTCACCTCGTCGAGTAGATTTGGCCAAATCGGTCATGCATGAGTGATTCCATTCTAGTGTCGCGTCGTCGCACAAATCAAATGCTCCCTATTGAGTGGCACCTAGTCGACAGCATAGCATCCATTGAACTTCCATGGCAAAAACGTATATTTTCCTTTTAAAACTGAACCATGTTGTAGTGCAGTTTGATGCTTCATTGATTGACTAAATTGGTAGGGAGCTGTGGGATTTTCTGGGTCGGAAAAAGTCCTTCCATTTTGTGTCAATATTAGTTAAGAATATTGTTGATTCTAAAATGTTAAATTTACAAACACTTTATTCTTCAATTTTTTGTTTTACTTTATTTTTGTTTTACTTGTTCATCAATGATGTTTATTTTTTGTTAGGTTCGTAATTCAATCTGGAGTAGTTTTGGTTTCTTTGCTTTTGTTTCTAATTGTTCCGAATACATATCAATTCCAATTCTATCTATAATATGAATAACGAATACATTATAAATTATTATAAGTCAATTGTGATGTCATCACTACAACTCCCAATGTTATTTGCCTATCCCCACAGTCCAATAATTTTTCAATAGTGGACGCTTGGCTTGATTTTTTTTAGGTTCATGTGTTAAAAAAAAAAAAAAAAGATATCGCGCACCGCAATGAAAAATTGAATTGTAATTGAAAATTACTTTTGTAAAACAAGGTTAATTAGAACCCGAAGAAAGTTACTTCAAATTCAATATTAAGTATGAACAATTAAGCAATTCCTACAATCAATGAACACTAATAAACTAAACAAACTGAACATTAATTAGGAATATTCTAGACCTAATCTAAAGACTCAATGAACAAAATTAGATGTAAGCCCAAGGCCAGGGAGGCCTACTAGTACTAGGCCGTAGCCTAGTGTAGTTATGAAATCATCATATGATTTTTACCAGTCTGCACTGACCAAAAAGTCAATGACTGTATTCTCTCTCAAATGCTTTAAGAAATGTTTATTTCTTTGACGAATGTCTATAAAAATATCATTACAAGCAAGTTCTTCTAACACAATACAAATTACAATAGTAATTTATCGTATCCATACTGACAACTGATGTGTAGCTAACACATACTGCAGGAGCTCACAAATGCACAGCTAAATGTACGCATACAGTATACTGATCATATCACTATAGCAACCGATGACTGCTCCAACAGTTGGTTATCAAAACTAATATTAAAAGACAGCGATTGACTTATAAAGCAATTAGTAGAGCATACATCATACACTAGCGGAAAATTATTAGACTTAGGTTATATTTCCTTCGGGCCTTGCAGGCCCTCAGGAAATTTTTTCAAGCATTAAATCTAACCTTCATATAATAATTTTCCTATAGTGTATTATGCAGAGCTCTACTAATTGCTTATTAAACGATTATTGGCAGTACCCTACATTAACAGCCGAAAAGAACTGATCTATTGAGAGTATCTCAACGTTCTGATTAGATTTCTCTATTCATTTCCAGGAGAAGCAGCTAACCTAGTCAAAGAGTTCTTTCAACAGTTGGACTGTCCATATTTTTGGATGCTAGAAGACTGCCTCTGGGATGCGACTGGCATCAGAGGGAAGAACAAAACTGTACTGAACTGTACTGAAATGCATAATAAGTTTGAATGTTTTTACCTGGAAGAAATCATTTTCACAATTCTCACTGTCTTCTAGTTGGAAACTAAGGATGATGAATGTCATACAGCTGCCTTCATCAGTTGTGATGTTGTAGAGACAATCAATGTTGTTAAGATATTCTTCAGGAGTGATATCGATGTTGGTGGCATCATCGGCAGACACTACATATTCTTCAAAGCAACCTACATGCATGTAAATAATTATATAGTTAAATTGTGAAAATACAAAATACACTTGATCTTTGCAAATATATAACAAATTATATACTTGAGACACAGCCCCTTATGCTCCCAGTGGAGTATGTTTTTTGTGTTGTTCATATTCGGCTCCATGCGGAACATTCCCAGAATATCAAATTCCAACTTACCATCACAGGGCTCAGCTTGACAAGATTGTGTGTTGTCTGGTGTTGTACCAGAGCACATATCATCGCTCACCTCACTACCATCAGATATCTGCACACATGTAACTACCCTGGTTTGTTCAGATTCTCCACTTCCACATGGGCACTGCAAGTGAAATTATACCAAATTGAACATTAAAAATTGATTATGAGGTTTGAAATTACAACCAAATATGAGTCATTCAAATCCAATATTATTCTTACAATATTATTAATTATACTGCTCTCTATATAGAAATTTTAGACAAATTATTATTAAAAAGTACATTGTAATTGACTGAAGGAATCTATTGAAATTAATATTCTTATTCTTATTTTTTATTGCCAGAAACAATACAAAAAACATACACATACAGTCAACTCAGGGAGTAGGCAGGAACCAAAAAGTGAACTAAATCACTGTAACAAAAGTTAAGATTCCATACTCCCTAATTAACAATACATAACAATAAATATATAAATTTAAAGATATTAATAAACTCTAACAGTTACATATAATTATATATATATTTTGGTTTTTAGCTTCTACAGAAATCTATTTTGCAAGTGCAATAAAATCAAATGAATCTCTTTTTAAAACATGGAGTACATGGTAAAAAAAACCCAAAAATTGTTTTCATTTACCAGTTTTTAACATATTTAATCACTATTACAAAATACAATGTACAATGTATTTAGTAATACAATGTACAATGTATTACTAAATACATTGTACATTAATCTAAAGGAATCATTCACAGAAAAAACATAACATCAAAAAAGGGAAAATTGCTGGTGTAGGACATTGTTGTATGTTGTACTGAGAGGACTGTTCTTGTTGAGAAACACTGGTGTTGTATACAGAAACGAGTATTCTTGTATCCAGGTTTAATAAAATATATTAATTATATGATATAATCATTTTCTATGTAAATCAGAAAAATCAATTCAATTTGTATCTTGTTTAATTTTATATTAAAGCATCTTGTATGATATACATACACACTATACTCATGAAGATAGAAACAAAATGGTCTTATGTACTAACCACACTCCAATCACCAACACTGTAAGCATACTGGGCACAAGTGTCTACAGGTGCTATAAAAAGTGTAAATCCATCTCCAGTAACATTCTCATTGGAGATAAATTTAATGATGCCTTGGTTGGAGGCAGAGGTCCATTGAACCCTTTCAACTCCACAAAATGTTCTGTTCAGTTCTGGCTCAGATTGGTCATAAAACTGTTAAAACACAAACGAATAAATCAGAGGTCAACTGAGAAAATACAAATAATAATAAAATAATAACAATAGAATAATAAAAAAATAATAATAATGACAATATAATAATAATAACAATAATAATAATAATAATAATAATAATAATAATAATAATAATAAATAGCAACAATAACAGGAAATTTCTAATTACATATTCAATACTCAGTATTCTACAGTATGAAACAAAATAAACATAAAAATTACTACAGTATACACTGCAACATCAGACATTTCATTTGTAAGTTTCAAAAACAGCCCACAAGACATATTGTCAATTCCAGCATCCGACAAAGAACAATGAGAATGGACAAGTGCTAAAAAAACACAGGTGAGTTTATCAGGAATGCAAGAAACAGTGTTGCAAGATACAGTTCTTGGGAAGCACTGTAAGTAAATACAACAAGTAAATTAAATAAGAACAAGTCTACATTGAAACATCAGTACATAAACAGTTCGGCCACTCGACTCGAGTAAGGTAAGGCAGGGGCGCCGCCAGCTACAGCCTTAACATCGGCGCTGGTTCCAGCCGCTCCTCGCCCATAGTTCAGTTGGTAGAATCAAGTCTTCTCGGATAAGGACTTAAAATGGAGGTCCAGTGTATACATCTGGCTTGTGTGTACTTTAAAGAACCCATTGCATCTTTCAGAAGAGTGGGGGGTTACCCTGATGTTATGGTTCATTTCAGCCCCTGTCGTTGTGGAATGATGTGAACATGTATCTACCAAGAAGCGCCTCTTTACGGCTGCTAGGTAGTCACGGACCATGCCCATATGCCATTCAGCACAATGATGCTGCAAGTTATGGGTTATTCTCCTACCTTTACCTTTACATATATACTGTAATCCCATATAGATTATGGTAGATAATATGGAAAATAACAAAATGTTTAAAATATAAATATTAAAAAAAACACCCTACTGATAAGTAATCCAAACACTGGCCATTGTTGTCAGCTGGTTCAAGATTGAAAATGAGGGACAGGACGGTGAAACAACTCTCAAGGCTTATAGTATAAGTACAATCTTCATTATTAACATAGTTTGACACTTGTATTGTCGTAGTTGAGTTGATGTACATATCACAAGCTGTAAAAAAAAGTTTATGCACGTTACTGAAAGATTATATAAAACTTCCTAAATGTCATAGATTTTATAAATTTTCATGTATCTTGAACATTAAATAATGAGGTTTTCTTTGTTAAAGACCCATTAGAAATAAACCAATGCAATTCTGTGTCAAATGTTTCTATGCTTTTACAATAAAGAATCAAAACAAAAAATAAACGACCAAGGACCCAGCTCCTTCAACATTATGATTTTGGGACATGTGACATACTCCCAGCCCACTTACCAAATACCATGGTCAGATGGCTGAGTTGTTGAATTTGATTTATACTTTGCAAAGGTCCATTACAATGTGGTAAGAATATTATCCACATTTTGGTAGCAATTATCTATACTATGGTACCTATCAATCACAATACAAATGAACCATGAGAACTTACAGGGACAATCATCAAGTTCACAAGTAGCAGTAGATGATGGTACATTGCCTTGACAATTAGAGTTATCAACAACCACTCCCGTTCCCAAATTCTGACATTCATAAGATCGAGTCAATATACCTTCTCCACATGTTACAGAGCACTGCAAGAAATGATTTCAAGAATCAACAAATGTAAATGAACTCTATTTGGCAAATAATAGTTAACTTTGAATTTCTTTGAACTTTGAACTTGTTTACAAATTCAAACTGCTAAAAAAATTGGCTCCTCCTCATAGGAGCTTAAGTATACTGCAGAAACTAGGTCAAAATTAATCTAAACATAGCTAGTTCATTACAGGACAAGTTGCTATCAGAGATTGCTCATCCAACATACAACAGCATGAACTGAAATGAACCCTTACACATTCCATTTTACAGAGGAATGTCACTATCACAACAAAGAGTATATCTGCACAAGCGCAGTATACTAAAACCCAGATCAATGCCAGCTGTGCATTACAAAATACACATATTCAGGGGTTTCCCTTAAGGTTTTTTTTAACTAGCCAAGTGGACCAGTGAATTAATATTTTTACTGGTCCTCAATCCCTTTCACTAGCCACTATCTTGCCAACTTCGGAAGGCCCAAATACCATATTTTTGACATTCTAATCATGCTGCCCCCCCACCGATGAAGTAACACTGACAGATACAAAAAAAATCTTTCTATTGTCTCTGTATGGGAAATTATGCCGCGAAATATAAATACAGGAATCTATTTGTATGTACAGTGCACTCGGCGCTAATGCACTTTAGTACTGTAACACTTCTATCTTCAAAAATAGTATTTTCGCCTACTGTGCACTACTAACGATATCCTATAATGGTTTTTCATCCAGTTCTGCAACTAATAACTCAGGTTTTTAGCATTTAATTACTAAAAACACGTTTTATTCCAGCGACTCATGACGGTGCAGCTCGCCATGTTTGTTGTTTATAAATAACTAATTGCCAGGTTGTTTTCCAATTTTAAGAACAGCTCTTTTCGTTGCCAGGTTCTTGTTTTCATTTTGTTAAAGCGATATTTTTCATTATTATTATTTAGTATTATAAATATTAATTGTTATTTCCGTTGTTATTAAATACTCTGGTACAATAATGACATTTATTAAATTTAGAGCCAACAGCTATTACATACTGAAGGTACATTCACATCAAATTCCCATTTGAAAATGTTTCGTTGTCAACGATGCTTTTACTGTAGGACCATATTATTTATGATCAATATAGATACATTTAGAAAACTTAATTATATTTATTACACTTAGGATAACTTTCATAGCATTTGAAAAAAAAAATTCACTTGGGACCTTTATTACATTTAGACCTAAAAATTATTACACTTAGAACCTTTTTATTACATTTAGAACCAAAATTATTACACTTAGAACCTTTATTACATTTAGACCCCATAGTTATTACACTTAGGAGCTACATTTAGACCCAAAAATTATTACATTTAGAACCTTTTTATTACATTTAGACCCAAAATTATTACACTTAGAACCTTTATTACATTTAGACCCCAAAAGTATTACACTTATGACCTAATTATTACATTTAGACCCATATTACACTTAGAAATTTTTTATTACATTTAGACCAAAAAACTATTACACAATTAAGATTTGTATAGACCCCCAAAAAATGTTATACTTAGGAACCTTAATATATTTAGACCCAAAAATTATTACACTTAGAACCTTTTTATTACATTTAGACCCAAAATTATTACACTTGGAACCTTAATTACATTTAGACCCAAAAACTATTACACATTAGCATTTGAAGACCCCAAAAATGGTTATACTAAAGAACTTTATTTCATTTAGACCCAACAGTTATTACACATAGGCCTATAACCTGTCTCACATTTACTGTGAAATACGCCAGGCGTATCTAACGCCAGGCGTACGTTAATCCATGGCGTAACTAGCGAGGTGTCCAGACTGGGCGATTAATGAATGCTAGCGTAAGTATTCGCGCGAAATATTCGTATTCGTAATTTACGCATTTTATTTTCTGTTTACATATCTAGGTTTATTTTGATTGGTCAAATCTTGGCTGAGTTCAAAATCACCGATGCGTGACTGTCGTAAATCAGTGGCGCACGCTAATCTGGGGTCTGTTGCTGGCTTACCGTACGCCAGTGATTGCGCGATAATACTGGCGTTCGCTACGCCGCGCACAAGTTCACACCATTCTATTAATGTTACGCTAGCGTATGTCGTTGTGTCTGAACATAGCCTTACGCTAGCGTAACGTTAATCGAGTGGTGTGAACTTGTGCGTGGCGTACTAGCGAACGCCAGTATCGCGCAATCACTGGCGTACGGTAATCCAGCAACAGA